GCATGTATGTACGATACTGTATGTCCTGTGGGGTGGAGCCCTGTGTGTCAAAGGCTCCTGGATTATGTAATTCATTTATATTTTAATGCAGTTAAGTGTGGGGCCCGGTCTGGGAATCTGCTTTATTAATCCCTAATCGAGCTCCACGTCACCTACCCCGTTTGGGGGGGCGTGACAAGAGTGGTATGAGAGCTTTAGGTTAAGAACCCCAGGATTGTACATACATGTGTGACATCTGTTATCCACTGAACAGTCTAGTTTTATTTCAGTTAAAAGGAAATGGGCCTCGCCGTAGACTAGGCACCCAGCCGGAACAACCGAATCAAGGGTTCTTGGATGCAATGTATGCTGCCTTTCAAGGCATGGCCACTAGAGCTCAGAATGAGCGACCGGCTAAGGATCGGAAACAATGATATTTTCGGGAATTCAGGCGAGCGCCTATCCCTTCGTTTAATAGTGAGGGGGGACCCCAAGAAGCAGAGTTCTGGATTGACTCCATAGTCAAGCACTTGAGTACTATGGGAGTCCCAGATGAATACTGAGTGGAATTTACGGTGTACAAGATGGAAGGGTTAGCAAACACTTGGTGGAAACAGGTCAAGAGGAGAATGGATGTCGTAGGATTGACCTGGGAGCAGTTTGGACGTTGTTCAATGAACAGTACTTCCCTCAGAGTTACAGGGAAGAAAAAGCGCTAGAATTTATGTCTCTACTGCAAGGAGACATGTCTATAAGGGAATATGAGGCCAAGTTTAATGACCTATCCCGATTTGCGCCATCTCTGGTGGAGTCTGAACACATGAGATGCCTTAAGTTTGAGAAGGGCCTCAAGAACTCTGTGATGAGATCCTTGGTGGCTCTGAGACTTCGAAACTTCCAGGATTTGGTAGCTGCTGCTACACGGGTGGAACAGGATAACTTAGCCTATCACCAAAGCAAAGAAGAGGCGGGTCGAGTCTCTGTCTCTTATAGACCTTCTGTCTCAGGTGGACCACAGCGGAGTGGTAGAAGAAACCGCAACCAGGGGCAGATGGTTGGAGGAATGGCAAGCGGTGGCAGCAGTTCATCCGGGAGTGACAGAAATGCTCCATACGGGCCCAGGTGTCACCATTGTGGGCAGGTGGGCCATATTAGAAGGAATTGTCCTAATCGGCCGCCGGCTCAACAAGCCCAAAGTGACACTTCCTACAGCTAAGAAGGGCCACCACAGTACATGCCACCATACCAACCACAATAGATGTCATACCCTCCTGCGCCGACTTATCAGCCGCCTCAGTATACACAGTTCCGGCCTCAAGTGCCGAGACCGGCACAACTGCCTCCACCACAACAGTATAGGCCTC